AAAAAAAACTATTTAAATATTATTCGATATTTTATGTTTTTGATAAATTAGTGTTGTGATGGAAATTGTCCACCATGTCAAACAGTTTGCGGTAAAACATTGAATTGTCGTAATCATAAATGTCTTAGTGAATGTCATCGTGGTCAGTGCTATCCATGTTCACATAAAGCTGATGTAACATGTGCATGTGGACAAACATCGATCACTGTTCCATGTGGTTGTGAAAAACAAACTCGAAAACCACGTTGTAATAAATTATGTTTGTAAGTGATTAATTTGTTTAAATTGAATAAGAGAAAATGAATTTTTATCTAAATAGAAAACCATCGGATTGTCATCATACTCAACAAGAACCACATTCATGTCATTTTGGTGAATGTCCACAGTGTAAACAAATATGTAATTTATCATTAAAAGATTGTTCACATATGTGTTCAGCAATATGTCATGATTCGGTATTCGTTAAAGAAGAAATGAATTCAACAAATACACCATGGGGAATGAAAGAAAAAGAAAAAGTGACGAAAAAAGCCTTGCCTTGTCCATTATGTCAAGTTCCAATAACTGTTTCTTGTTTTGGTCAACATAGAGTAACGAAAATTTAAATCTTTGTAGAAAATAAAACGAATTATAAATATTCTTCTTATTTATTAGACTGAAACTTTTGCATGTTCATCAGCACATCCATTCTGTTGTGGTCAAGTATGTGGTCGAATATTAAAATGTCGAAATCATCTTTGTAGTCGTCCATGTCATATAGTTACAAATGCAGCAAATACAACTGATGTAAGAGATACTTTAATTGATCTTTTGTTTTTAATATAAATTGAATATGTTAGGCGGGTGCTGAATGTATTCAATGTGAAGAAATGTGTACAAAAGAACGACCAGTAGGTTGTCAACATTCTTGTCCATTAGCATGCCATCCAAATAATTGTCCACCATGTAAACAACGTCTTCGTATGAGATGCCATTGTAATACAGAAGTAATTTATAGTAATTGTCAAACATTTACAACTGCAACTGAGACGGAAAAAGAAAAAATCAAATCATGTGGCAAACCATGTACGAAAAAGGTAATTTATAATCATTTTATTTTGATTCGGAAAGAGCCTTTAATTTTTTAGCTTACTTGTGGTCATTCATGTGCTTACTCATGTCATTCTGGCCCATGTTTACCTATCAATAATTGTGTACAAGCAGTTCAAGTTCGTTGTGTATGCAAACGTATCAATCAAGAATTACCATGTCATGAGATAAATACAATTAAAAATTATCGATTACCATGTGATGAATTATGTGCTGAATTAAAAAAGAATCGAATGGCTTCAGCATCCAATTCTCCTGTTATTCAAACACCAGTTGAAGAGATAAAACCATCTGCAGTTGAAATTGATAGTCCATTAGTAAAACGAAAGAATCGAAAAACTCCTAATATTGAAACAATATCAACAACAACGACTAATACTCCAACTTCATCAACAAAAAAACCTCGACCACGTCGTTTTGTTTGGACATTAAATAAAGTTATTATTTTATTTGGGCTTTTTAGTTTGATAACAGTATCATTAATTATTTATATGTTTAAACAGATTGCTTAAGTTTTCAGGGATTAAGGTTACATTTGTTTTAGATTTATTATTCTTTTTATCTCTTTTTCATCAATAATATACACGACAATTTGATGATCATTTAAATAATGAAATTAATCATTGTTTCATCCTTCAGAACGTTAAATGAAACAAAGAGTTTCATATCAGATAGAAGACGTAAATTGAAATTATATATGTATGTTTTCGTATTCTCTATTTTAGCAATTTCAAACGATGTGAATTCATATTTTTATGAAAACAAAAAGTGGATCGGTTATTTGTGTTAATCTCACAGCGAAATCAAATGAGAAATAGTTTATATTTACTAAAGCTATATATGGGCACGGCCAAGCGTTACGGAATTTCATTTTTTCAACTTGTGAGACGTGTATCTCCTCAATAACAAGAGAGGTGTTTCTGAAATTTTTACCATATATATGAAGATCAACTAGCTCTACTAGCAGTAAAAACTTCACTGACTTGTGGCGAGCCATAACGGAGTTATATGAAAAAAATCGTTCGTTACGGAATTTCACAGTTGTTCTCTTTTTCTGTGAGGGACAATTTAGTGACATTTTTATGATAATTTTAACTACGAAATCTAACTTTTTCATCCTGCAACGATTAAGAATATTGTTTTCTATAAATTGATTAGTTCATTTTCATGTTTGTCTCAAAATTTCGTGATTATTTGTGTTTTTAAACTCGTAGGAACAGAAAATGATATTAGTTTTATATGTCAGCTGAGTAACTCAGAATGTCGGACAAACTTAGCAATATTTCAAGATCATACTTTCTGTTAAAATTTTTTTTCTATATATTACTGATTTTAAACCTTCACCAGGGAAGGGAACCGTTAGCTGGCCGTGCCCATATAAACAATTTTTAAATTACTTTTGAATAAAAAATAATTAAATTTTCATTATTAATGTAATTATTTAGTCAATAAAATCATAATACATTAATTTAAGATCGTTCAATTTAATTGATAAAAAGACTTTTCGTGAATAAATATTGAATATTATGATACAGTCACTTCCTATTTTTTGTTATATCACATACTGGTAGCAGATGTTAGCAAATTAAAAAGAATTGAATAATTACTATGCAACCTTCTTTTCATACGAATTCTATTGTTTTTATTTGAATAATTTTTGTATAAGTGCGTAATATATTTATGGAATAGAGACATGTCAAAATAGTACAGGTAAATCTAATCATGACTTTCTTAAATATAAAATATATCATACAGCTTATATTGTCAAAAACTAATTCTTTTAATAAATAGATCTGTATATGATTATTAAAGAATAAACTCGTTATCAAAATGTCAAAAACAGATAAATTATTCATGTCAATGACATGATACATTTGTTTTAGTTACCTTAAAAATTTCTTTATTAGCAACTTATGCATAACTATAAATATTCCATAGGCCTGAGATTTATCCTATCGTTATCGGAAAAAGTTCTTATCGATAAGCAAAATAAAATATCAACATAAATGAACATCAATTTTCTTTTTTATTTAATAGCTGAATTAAGAATGAAAAATAAAATAGAAATTGTTTTGAGTAGTATTTTTTTTTTGGTTGTTGTAAATAAATGACAGATGATAAAATACTTTCTAATATAAATAGATGTTTTGACAGACTACAAAAATCAACAAGTTATTGAATAACAGATATAGACTTGTTGGATTAAAAAATATAGATTTAAGTTCATATTTATTGCAAACATTTATTTGCGATGACTTTCAATATCGGCTTTCAATTGATCAACATTGGCACCAACAACTCTATGAATTTCTTTTCCATCTTTGAAGAAAACGAATGTTGGCATTGCTTCTACATTAAATTCTTGTGAAACAGCTTCACCTTGATCAACATCACATTTAAGGAAAACTACAGTGTCTTTAAATTCACCTGAGCTCCAATCATCGATTTTTGGTGCTACACGTAAACATGGTCCACACCATCTAAAACACAAAAATAAATAAATAGATTTTCTTTACTTCAATATCTTACGTTGCAAAAAAATCCAAGACGATTAATTTGCCTTTATTTTTTCCTTTTTCAAATTCAGCTTCAAGCTCTTCCATTGTTGTAATTGAATGAACCATGTTTTTAAAGAATTTTCAATTAATATTTAACTAAAAAATAACATATATAAACTTAACAATAGAATTAGATCAAAAAGAAAAAAAAATGAGCGTTTTATAATCGACAACAAGAATATCTCTTGTGATTTCTATAGTAAAGAGAATTTTTCAGAGAATAACATCAGTCAGCCATTTCTGCTCGTTCTCTTCTTTTTTCTCTCATGAAACAAACAGATATATATATATTCAGAAGAAAAGAACTAGTCTACATGAAAGAAATAACAAAATGACTATATAGTAAACGAAGATCTAATCCCAATGAAACAATATATATATATATATACAAACGAACGAAAAGAAATAACATAAATATTATAAATGCCATACATATATAGTCCAAAAAGATTCACAATTATTTATACCAATAGATAGCGAGTATAATAATGCTAGTCTGCCACCATTATCTGTCTGACATATTTTTTAGCTTAAAAATAAATAATATGAGTTTTCTTTGCAAGAATTTTTTATCTATATAATTTATTTTATAATCAAGTATTATCAAATTAATTTTAATCATGTTAATAATTTTTTATAAGAAGTTACTCAAGTGTTTTTATTAATGAAAAATTGTAGTTAATATTAATTAAAGTTTGTTAATTATTAAGTGAAGAACGACCGACAACTAGTGCCATCTTATTAGAAGATATAAATACGGAAAACATTGTAGTTATCTAAATTGATTAGAATATCTATTTAGCAATATCATCAGGGGTAGCGCGATCGGGGCCCCCCAATCTTTCGAAATTCCTATTTTTTGTTCAACAAAATCGGCAAATCTTCTTTGGTTTTTTACCAAAAATAATGGTACACAATAATGGTACATTACATTTCACGCAGTATATCATTAACTTAAGTATGAAGCAAGTTTGATTCTAAATGAAAAACTTTAATTTGTTTCCAGTGCTTCGTGCATAAGAGATCATCTTAAGTTTTATGTAGTTATTAGTTAAAATAATTAGAAAAAATATCATGAAGAACTTGTCATAATTGTTTATCAAACAAAATACTTTAGATCCTCTATGTATACATTTATTCGTATTTTATGTTCTTGCATATAATTTTTAAATGTTAATTTTTATTCAGCCGATTAAATTCATGTAATCCTCAAGAATAAGTACAGGACTTGTGTATTTAATAGCTTTAAAAACAACTCGTACCATAATAAGTCACAAGCTTGATATTCTATATTCTTAATCTATAATCATTATTTATAGAAGAATTAATTAGTTTTCCATAACTATTCAAATAGATCGTGTTCGTAATGAAAAATCCAATTGAATTTACACCTGCTGATAGATTAATAAATACACCTATGCAATGAATCAAATATGAATTATTTATATATTCTTTCAAATACACTTCATTTCATTATTTTTGTGTATGATATAACTAGCGTAATATTATCTCTTGTACTTGTTGGAATTATAATTTATTCATTCGATAACATATACATTTTCATCATGATTTATTCTTGTATTCGTTTATAAAATTTGAAAAATAAATCATATACAAGTGCATATTACATATTCATCGTCTCGATTTATTTTGTATATGTAATATGAAAAAACAAAATTCCAATTATACGAGATCCTTACAAAATTAGAGTTTGACTTTTAACTCAAGTGATAATATCAGAACTAAATTTTAACATTTTTGTAAAATAAAAACGATACATTAAAAATCAAATAATAACAGTTGTTTCGATTCATTTTAATGAATTAATAAATACTATAATCATGATATGCATATCTTACAAACATAATATATTCAATAATAAATACAAAGGTAAATGTATATATTTTTATTTAATTTTCTCTTTCTCATTCGTATTTGAACAAAAAAAGAAGAAGAAGAAGAAGAAAAATTACATTTAAAGAATTTAGAAAATAAATAGGAAATAGCAAGAAAGAGAATGAATAACTTATTTCTTTTCTTATTTATCAACGACACAGTACATACACACAGATTTGTAAATATTTTTGTTATACATTAGAAAAGAATTTTAACCCGACAAAATAAGTTAAACGATAGTTATTATAAATATGATTGTATCAATCTCTCATTCTCAAAAGAAGAAGATATCATCAAGTTTTTCTTCTTTGTATCTATATATATATATATCTCTTCAATGTATCATTAAAGACAATAAAAAAAAGGATTCTTTTTAATAATTAATATTTATGTGAACAAGAAAAAGAGAGAAAAGAAGTAAGCAGGTGTTCACAAAATAACTAGAAAAAAAAATTGTATATACATACAAAAGAAAATGATTGCAATAGATGATAAAATAGGTATTACCAAATGTGCAGTTAATCAGTATAAAATAAAAGATACTGTTCTGCACATACAAAGCTAACAAATAAAAGAGAGAAAGAAAGAAAGAAAGAAAGAAAAATTTAAAATTGTCTTAATAGAATTTCACTGTTGAATTTATTCTTGTTTGACATATACACTTATATCTCTAGTCTAGATAAAAGAATAAGAAATTAGGTTTATATTAGTTACGTATACACATGAAATAACAACAAGAGAAGAAAAAAAAGGAATAGATTAAAAAAAAATTTAGTTTTTTTTTAAAGTTAATCAATTAATTATAACGCGTACGACTAATGGTATTTGATATAGGACGATATGAATTTATACCTGGTGGAACTGATGGTGATACTTTCTATAATTATAAAAACAAAGAAATAATTAATTTCATGAATATTTTTTCTACATACAACTGGTCGATGTTCAATTTCAATTTCTTCAACAATATTATTTGGTACATGACCAATATCACCATGAAAATTTCTTGCACGCCACCATTTCTTCGAACTATCTTCTATTTCAATTAATTCACCACGACGTACAGTTAATTCTTTAGGATTATGACCTTTACGATCAATTTTTACAGCACAAATTCTATTGAATTAAAGAAAAGATATATCAATTTTTATTCAATTATTTAATTTACTTTGCTCCAGCACGTTTACGATCAATAGCCCAAGCATGTTCATTTTGCATATGAGCATTATAATCGTCTAATACCTCAGTTTTAGCTGTACGATTGATAGCTGATGTATCAAATTGAGGTATACTTGGTGATGGTTGTCGAGCAAATGTTGTATTATAATTAGGCGCTAAACCATTATTCGTATTATTGATTTGATTCGTTTGCTATAGAATAGAAGAAATGAAATGTATTAAAGAGAAAATTTATTTAACATACACGAGTCGTAGACCAAACTGATTGTTGGCGTTCATCAAATTGAGTAAATGGATGAGTATGTTGTGGTGTTCGTTCAATAGGACGTGCTGGTTGTATATGCATTGATTGTGGTTGTTCAATTGGTGCATCTTGAATCCATACAGCACGACCTTCATAGAATACTGGTCGATAATCGGAAAATTTTGCTGTTGAATCATCACTATAATAGAAACATACTGAAATATAATATATTCATTCGAATTAAAATTCTTACGCTGTTCGAACCCATGCAGCACCAAGATTACGTAAAATTTCATGTTCTTTTGATGTTAAACAATTTAATAATAATTCTTTTGCTTCTTTTGTTAATGCTGGTGTCCAAATTTCTTGTGCTAATTGTAATTGATTGACATGTTTTGTACGTAATATAAATATAATAAATTGTAATGGTGATAATAAATAATGTATTAATTCAGGTGCATTTGGATTATGTATTATATGTTTAAGTTCACCTAATAGATTAAATGAATGTTTAAATTTTTGTAATATATCAATAAAATAACGATCATCAGGAATTTTTTCAACCATTTGTTTTAAACCAGCTAAAATCAAATAATATAATATAGAATAAAATACAAAAATATTTATTCAACAAACTAGTTGTTTTTTTTTCTTTTCGTCGATGATCACGTTCTAATTCTTTGGTATATTCCATTAATGCTTCAAGATAACGTACAAATAATTCAATATCATCAAAACATTTATTTAATTCTTCTGTTAAATGTTTATAATAATCTGTTGCAGCTACAGTTGTTTGTTGAGTTATTGTTCGTTGACTACCAGTCATATATGGTGAATCTTTTAAATAGAAAGAATGAATAAGAAAAATAAAATAATACAATTAACTAACTATTCATATGTGAAGATTCCATTGTCATTTGTGGCATTAAACCAGATCCACCAGTAGTACCATTACCATAATAAGTATCGACACGATGATCGAATATACCACGTGTGTC